GAAGTTTAGAGGACAGATTTAATTGACTTTAATCTACTCACTTCGGCATTTACCCGATAACAACAACAACAGCATAACAGCCGCAACCTCAACTCGAAGCGAAACGCTCCACGCATGAACGCTCAAGAGCATGACAACTACCAAACGTGCCGAAGTCCTGCTCGGGAGTGGGAACTACTTTCATTGGGAGTACAATATGCGCATGACGCTAGCCAGAAAGGGCTTGCTTGCGCATATTCAAGTCGTCAAGCCTGAGAACGAGATCACAGAGGCGTGGCTCGTCAACGATGCCAAGGCGCTTGGCATCATCGCCCAGGGTGTGGAACTCCAGCACCAGACCAAGATCCGGTCGGCGACGCGTTCCATGGAAGCATGGGAAACGCTCCGCGAGTTCTACAATCGCACCACGCTCCACAACCGCGTGACGATGACGCGTCGACTGCACGAGTTCAAGATGGAGAGCGGATCGTCTATGGCCAAGCATCTGGATGCGTTCGATGAGCTGATCGTCGGTTTGCAGACGCTGGGAGAGCCCATGGACGAGGCACGTCAGCTAGTGGTACTGCTGAGCAGCCTCCCCGCCGAATACGAGCTCATATCGTCTATCCTGGAGAACGCCAAGGGTGTGACGCTCATCGAGGCCAAGGAGAAGCTGTTGAAGGAGTATGAGCGACTCAAAAAGAAGGAAACCACGGAGAAGGCGTTCCAAGTGAATGGGAACGCAGGCAAGTTCCGAAACGGCCGAGGGAACGGTCGAAAGTGGAGCGCTCCGAAGCGGAACGTTGGTTTCAAGGGCAAGTGCTTCAACTGTGACCTCGTGGGCCACATGAAGCGGGACTGTCCTGCTCCGAAGAAGGGTAGCCAAGACTATGCAGTGTTTGCAGTTGGTGGGGAACGCTCGGCCGGGTGGCTGATTGATAGCGGTGCGACGTCGCACATGACCCCTCACCGGAACGACCTGTTTGAGTACAAGTCGTTGGACACTAGCATGGAGGTGACGATTGCAGACGGCAAGAAGCTGCACGTCGCAGGAACTGGAACGGTCAAGTTGACTGGTTTGGACGGTAGACGCATCCGTATGGTGGACGTGCTCCACATCCCCGGGCTCGATAGACGCTTATTGTCAGTCGGGAAGCTCGCGGAACGCG